CTCTCCCTCCTCCCCCCCATCCGTTAAATAATAGACAATTAAGTTATCGTTTAAACGAGATGTACGTTTGCTAGACATCTGTTGCCATCCTAATCCCCACACCCATGATCGTAAACCCGGCAAGCTTATTTTCTCTGCCTTTTGTGCCGGCCACCCATGCAACTACTTCATGCGGTTGTGAAACACGTTGTTCCTGCGTCATTACGAGATTATTCGATAAAATGTTTTATTTCGGTCCTTTACCTCTTCTAACATCGATCGAGATACACAGACAAATTGGATTCTTGCAATTGGAAGAGACGCGATTAGATTTATAAAAATGTTTTAATAATTGAAAAAAAAAAAAAGGAGCCGAAATTCAATCAATCACGATAAAGGATAAAATTATTGAAAATGTCCTTTATAAATTCAGTATTTCAGCCTCATTAAAATCAATGAGGAGGGAGGGGGATCGATAGGTTCACTAGAATTAGTTATTATTATTATTATTACATATTAATTATATATTAATAAACGATATTATTAATATTAATAATTATTATGGTACCGTAATTACTTTAGATACCTTAGAACAGTACGTGTACATTAATATTATTGTTAATTATCGAAATAACAATTTAACCTCGATTCGAATATTGTCGAACGCGTAAAAATAATTTTATCCACCATTTTGATGTAGATGAGTTATTTGTAGAGCAATGGCTGGTGAAATGGCTGACCACAAAAAAGAAGAAAAAAAGAAAAAAGAATGAAATCATTTCGACGATCAAACAGACGAGAAGACAAAGAATTGAAACATGAATATGAATTCCAAGGTAGTTGCATTTTGCGCGACACGTGAAAACTCATGGAAAACGCTGGAACAGTCAGTTTTTTCGAATATTTGTTATACAAGCAATACACGTTTGCATATCAAACAACTTTTTAACAGCGCATGACCGATACAGAGCTTAAATGATTTGTTTACCCATGCGCCCAGATACGTATGTACACGTATCCAGAATTTGCATGTTATTATCTAATATTAATAATTAAAGCATTATATTAATACGATCGATACAACGTGTGTGCCAACATGCTGTGCATTTGCGTACGCGCAACTCGAATAAACAAATATATTGATTAAACGGGCGTACGAGAAAAACACGATTCTTCGACAAGAGAGAAATAAAATTTATCTCTTTTTGACGGAACAAAAATGGAGGATGTATAATGATAAAATCTTCCTTTCAATTTTCTCTTCGAATATAACTCCGTTATATAATTGAATAGACAAATAAAGGAAATTTAATGGGAACGTTATTAATTTTCGTATATACAAATAACGTTATTACGTTATACTCTCGAAAGGGATAATTACGCTCCCGATTATTATTAATAACTATAATTGTTTTCACCACTCTTGCTCGATACCATCGAACGGATCTTGTTTGCTAATGATGATAGTTGCACAATATTTTCATTGTACACGTCTGTTATAATCTGATAATCAGATCATTTGATTATAATAAAAAAAAAAAAAAAAAAAATAAGTTAATTATGTTGCAAATATTGATTTCGCTGAATCTGATGTAAATTTATTACGAGTTAATCGAATTATTTATGTAGTAGTAAAATTACTTAAGTAAATTTGTTTTTTTTATTTAATTATTTTCAATTTCAGTTTAAAGCTTATTTTTCGCGAATCGATACACAATTTAGGATCTTCTTCTGATTCAAATATATAATTCAATGAAAAATACAATTAAGTAATATTAATCGAATAATTAATTTAATTTTCAAACAAATAATAATTTTATCAAATCATCATTTGTTCTTTTCAAAGAGTTTTAATTATTATCATTATATTAATTATATTAGTGTCATTATATTATATACGACGAAAAGATAAACGATAAGATATTGTATAATTAGAAACGCGAATAAATCTTATCAATTAGAAAAATTATACGATACACGTTATACGTTATACATTGAAGAAAAACAAATACGAAATATCAAACACGACGTGTTATTATTATTCGTTCGTAGAAGTCGAAGGATTCGAATATGGCAAATGAATATACACAAATATACGCTGCTGACTAATCTCGAGGATTTTGTGTATTTTTGTTTTTGCAACAATCGAGGCACCACAGTTTGTGTAGCGATGGCCTTGTAACAAGTATCGCTTCTCATTGTGGCCGTGTAAACGTTGACGAATGGATCGACACGCGCTTGGAAACGTTAATATTAAGCAACGCAAAATTGTGTGATTTCATCATATTCTCTTTTCTCTTAATCACTGTCTTCTTTTTAGAAATTTTCTAAACGAAATAATACGAAGTAACGCAATATCGAATTGAAAGAAGCATTCATTTTACGGTAAGTACAATACATTATACGTTATAATTGGAAAACAGAACTCGTGATTACATGTAAATCTCTTTCATTTCAGTTTTCACTTCGATTTGGAAATTATCCTTTTAATTATCGATCACGTTTCTTCTTCGACCGATAAAAGTTGGAGATGCTTTTAAGATGTCGAAAGAAAGGTACTACTAGCACTGAGAAACTCAAATCCAGTTATCCAGTATTGCAAATTAATCTTGTTTCAAATGAAATCTGATTAATTTTCTAAAAGATTGTCGATTTATGCTACGTCGATAATTTAATTAACGGTATCAATTTCGGTGAAAATCTATTTCACCTTCGTGGAATTCGTGTCGGTATTGCGAATGCATGTAAGTAATAATTAGAAATCACATAGTCGGTAATAGGTATAGAGGTAAAAGTCTGGTACGCTTGTAAGCTTTCTGATCGATAGCCACTAAAATTAACATGATGCGACCAGGTGAACCGTGTTGCTCGTGGAGTGTGGTTCATGATTTATGACCACCATAGAGAGTTAATACATCGCGTCTGTAAATAAAACGCGTAAAAACGAGTGCATTGTGACTGGATCTTAATTGGTCAATTATCGTTTCATCGCAACGGTTTCCATTTTTAATCATCCGAGAAAACAATATAATTGTCCTCTTTCACTATTTGTCCTCCCCTCCTCCCTCCCTCCTCCCCTCCCTTCCCCGGTTATATCGCGCAAAAAAGAAAGATTAAAAATTGTTTTCATATTTCGAAAAATAGCGTGATCCGACGAAAAACGAAAAGTATTAATCAAATTAAAGGGAATTGCATTTAACCATTGTTTATTCCCTTTCATTTAATTTAGTTATGTCGCGCATAAAAAAATATCCAACATGATGTAGAATTTTCCTTAATACGAAACGTTATTTAATTCCATTTTGTTTAATTAAAATATCAACCGGGGACAAAAGAAAGGCTGAGCACGATGGAAAAAAAACCAAAAAAAAAAAAAAAAAATAATCGTCGCACGAAAATCTAGCCGCGAGCCTGTCTCTCTTGCGATATATATTTTTAAAAATGCTTTTATTCCCGTGTAACCGCAATAAAGTACAGTAAATTTGAAAACAGTATCCGATCGGTACGTTCTATTCTCAACGTTGCTATGTTATTAAGCGAAACGAAATTCCGAAATAGTTTTAATATTACGTAAACCAACGAGCTCAGGCGAAACTGCATCGATCCAGTATGCGAAACGCGAAACTTTTCCCATTGACTGTACTCTCTCCTCCATATCTACCAACTTGTCGCTCGGCCTGTACCTTGAAATAGAAATGATTAAACTTTTAATAACTGATACGTCAGTTTGCTCGCTCGGTAACATTGTGTTTTATTATACAAAGTATAATAACCATAATCAATCGAGTCGTTCAATTTAAAAAGTGACGTGTTATTTTCTTTTTTTTTTTTTCTATTTATTGTTATTTATTTTTTAACGTCGCAATTATTATTGTCGTTATTGGTTTCTCTACATATTTTCACGATAAAGTCATATTTTTTTTAACTACTATTGAATTACTTAGCAAAAATCCAATGTTTGTTTTATCATTGCATATTGCGAATTGATTTTATTATCGAGAAAATATTCGAAAATAATATTTCTCGTTCTTTTTTTCTTTTTTTTTTTATTTTCGAATTTCAAATTTCAAAAGGTATAATATATAAGAATAGCAATAGATTTGTTTGCATCTCGATTATATTCAAAACGAGTCTTTCATCCTTTTCTTGTTTTTTTCGAAATCTTTCGTGAATATCGTGTTTTATGTATGGGTATCGTGAAGTTAAGTCTTTTATCGATATAGAAGCCGCACTTTAGTACTTAATAATACTGCAGGAAAACTTCTCTCGAAAAATCAAGAACTCGTAATTCGTACGGTGCAAAAAGAACTAACACGATATACAAGTAATACCTTTTCAATGGACGAGAAATATTTCCAGCAATATTTCGTGGGCTATATTGAATTTTCTCTGAAAATACGTTTTTTAACAATAAAATACAATATTCTATCATATTTCGTTTTAGAAAAATTAATAACGCGTAAGAAACTTTATAAAAGAATATATATATATATTTATCAAGTTAAAAATAAAACACGGTTTTCTTTCACGTTAAAAAAATATAAAAAAATAATTATAATATATCATAAAAAATATATGTAATATACGATTGATAAGAAGCATAACTTTTATTGCCTCGTGTGTAATTATTTATGAACACGAAAACGATGAAGATTTTTAATTTTTTTTTTTTTTTCGAAAAAAAAGAAAAAATATTTATAAGTTCAAAAAATAATATTATCTTAAAATCATCATACGAACTGATTGTTCGCTATTATTAAAACGATGACTCATTGAAGTTTGTGCGCAATATTTTTTTTTCCAGCACAAGGTTTACAATACCATTTAAATCGCAGTCCATTATTCTTTTGTACGGCAACTAAATTGAATTAATTTCCCTGGTATTCTCGAACGAGTAAGTTCCTCGATAAAAGTACCCGATATAAATATGGATGCATTGGTTAAATGATAAATTCAAATTTTGCCCGTTGTTAAATCATTTTTCAGTCTTGCTTTTTTATTTTGACTCGATTAAATAATTATTTGGATTCCATTCGTAGCGTATTGAAAAATACAAATTTTCATTCGTGTTTCGTAAACTAAATTCATTAAAAGTAATTATTAATGGTATCCGTCCCCTCTATTAGTGTACTTTCATTCCCCGCCAGATGTCTCCTCCTTTCATAATATTCTAGCATCACAAGATAAATATACATATATTGTGCGTACTATAATCAATTTCGTGCCTTTTATTCGAATTCTATTATATTCTGCGTTATATTTAAAAAAATTATACTCGATGTAATTATGTATATATATATTTGAAATTTTGAATTAAAAAGTAAAGTAAAAATAATATATATATATATATATATAGAGAGAGAGAGAGAGAGAAAATTAAATGGAAGCAATAATACTTTGAAATTCAATTTTGCTGATACAAAATTTCCAGCAATAAAATAAATTCGTTCTGATTCAATCCTATAATTTTCAATGACTCTAGGACTTTTGAAAATTCTAGTTATAAGCTTTTATGTTTGAACAGCACTTATTCCCGTGATCACGGATAAAATTATTAAAAAGTTATTTAAATTCATGAGAATAACAATGATACTTGAGCCACGGCATTATGTGTGGGTGTGGCCTAGAAATTGATGCCCTTAATTATAAAATATTATCTGTTTCATAAATGCAATTTCATAAATGCACCGTCTTCCTCCTTGGATCAATAACTTACTCTCCGTTCTCCTCTTTATAATTATCTTTAAATCCAATATTTTCCCCTCCCCTCCGACTTCATTGAAATTTCATTTAAATAATCTCAAAACTTATTCAAAGCTTGTTAAAATTCAACAGAATGAAATAGGGTCTTTAATGCACATAAGAAAAGTTCATCGAAAGACAGTGCCATTTGTTTGAAAGTAATTTAATAGTTTCTTCTAGTAAAATTTTTTTTATAAACATATAAAATAATTTAATTGTATTTAAATAAATATAACGAATATAACGAACTATGATGAATTATTAATTAAATTTTCAAAGCTAGGAGAACAAACAATTCCTATTTTGTTACCATCAGAGCAAACAGTGAAAATGGTAGATAATGCAGACTTTGTCTCTATGTAACAATTTGACATCCATTGTTCCGTTAATTATTTTAAACTTAATAATCTCTTCATTCCGTTGCAACTTACTTCATTTGCGTAACCAATTTTATGAAAATAATTTAACGACCACAAAGGAATTTTGTAATTTGCTGTAATTGACAACTACAGCATTGATTATTTTTCTTAAATTACTTTTTAATTTATCAAGTAAGAAAAACTTTAATTAATTTACATAAAAGTGAATAGAAATAAACTTTAAAATTGTTTGAGAAAAGTGAATTATAAAAACAGTAAATAACATTGTATTTATTTTTATATTTATTTTTTTTAACTATATTTTTTTTATATAATCTATGAAAATTAATTAGTTAATCAAAGTTAATCAAAAAAAAGAATATTTAAACAAAATTTTACGAGATAATTCTTGATACACGAAATTTCAAGAATATATGATTCTAATTATTATTATTTTATTCAGGAAAATCCGGCTCACCCACCGAATAACCACAAAATACAAGTGACACACGAAGGGTTACGAAGCGTCACGAAGTGACCCGAATAAGGTTCTACGGGACGTTAGTAAGTATATGTATACTAACCACGACCTCATTCGAACTTTTACAAGCCACCGTATACGAACGATTCCCATATCTGTCTAATATCCAATTATAAATATTACAATCTCCAGTATGGTGGAAAAACTTTCATTCTTTCGATAGTGCATCAAGTAAGAACAGACATTTTTATTAGATTTTTTATTTTCTCATTAAAATCCATGCTACATGTTTTCAAATAATTTATTTAATTTTCTAGGTTAGAAATTTTATAACCTAAATGAATATGTCAGTACAAGATATTTCTCTTATATTCAATTCATAGAGAGAAGTCAGGTCGGAACAAACCAAGTAAATTATTCATATGTCATAATATATATACTTCAAGAATTTTATTTCTCAAATGCTTTCAACAAATTCACATAATTCATGACAATTTAATGCGTGCAAGTTGGTAATAATATTATACGTTTTTATAAAAGCTTTCTATAAATTCGGTACAATACTTTTTCTCACTAGAAATTCATTTTTAGAAATTCATTACAAGTATAATCAAAAGTTTTGTTGAAAACAGTTTTGTTATAATTTACCGTTAATTATACGTCAAGTACAACAAGTATATATATATAATATATGTGTACATTGCTGCGTATATATGTATAAATAAAAAATAGGTTTTTTAGAATATAATGTATGTTGTAGGTACCATTTGTAATGATAAGGGTTAATTAAGAAAGTGACTCGTAAGTGGTTGGTTTCCAACAGAGAGAACAAACAACCAACCGGGGTTCTCTTGGCCCAAACAGAAAAACAAAAAAAAAAAAACAATAAGCAAGATTTACCAGTGAGTCTCAGCTCTTTTAATTCTATAGATACACCTCTCTTTCCTTTTTATTTCTTCTTTTTTTTCTTTCTTTTTCTTTTTTCTTTTTTTTTTTTTTACGTAAAATCAACTCCAATACCGAGTTAATGCTGTTTAACAACGAGAACCTCAGAAACTTGGCACGAACTTTAAATTACTTTAAGAATGTAATCTTACCTGCATTCAGTTGGCTTCATTCAAACAAAGTGAATCGGAACTTTTGAAAAATTGAACGTTCTTACGTAGAACACTAACTTGAATTCCGTTTAATATCCCTCGTGCCACTTATCCATTTGTTTTTCAATTGAAAAAAAAAAAAATAAATAAATCTTTCTAAATACAAAAATATTTTTTAAATATTTATTATATTTAGAGCAAATAAAATTTAATTAAAAATTGAATTAATTTTAAGCAAATAAATTCTATCTAATATGAAATACAAAAAATTATTATAGAGAGAGAGAGGAATGAAATTGAATATTTCACATTAATAATTTTAATACAATTTCTCTCTTTCATTTTACTCATTATTCATATTTTGTAATTTTTAACAACATCACCAATTTTAATATTATTCAAAATTATTCTACCAACTTCTAGGAACAAATTTCATAACGTAAATTACTTTTAATTAAAAATATTCACCTGTACATGCGTCTATTTTTTCTCTCTCATTTTCAACAAACGATGCCATTACAAAATACTTATTAACGCGATTCGTTAGCAACTGAAACAAATATATTTCGTTGGATTTACAATTAGTAATAATATGTGATATACGAAAGGGTTAATTAATTAAGTACGTATCGATTGGCCGGAAGATAGTCTGCATCGTGTAACATGAGCTTTGCTCCAACATGAAATCAGGGGGGAAAGAGGAGTAGCGGTGGGCGGGGGGTAGTCAACCTGCTCGTGTCAGTGATTCTCATTTCGTTCGCTATATCTTGTCAAATTGTCTTTTCATTTATACAAGTATTATTTTTGAATAATTGTACTTAAAATACTATATTATAAAACATTAAATAAAAATAAACGATAATGACTAATAAGATTAAAATTAAATTTTAACAAATTTCCCAGATGAAATTCGATTTCGACCCGTTTCAATGTTTGATCACCATCCGAGCTCGAACCCTTTAGAGATCACGATAAGATAACAAGTGTAGAGGAATACGACTCCATCCTTTTCCATCGTTCTCATGAGCACCGTCGTAAATTCCAAATAATAATGCATTGTACGAGCTGGCGTGTTTTGTTTCTGAATAAGCACACTCTTGCACGTTTGCATAATTCGATACGCGTCGGGGTTTACATTGTATTTTAATTATCTTCATTACGTTACAACTTGTACAAAGTATTTCTCCGTTGAAATTGGAATGCAAATAAACGTTAAGATAGTTAGATGAATAGAAAAAATATATATATATATATAAAATTCTTTGTTACTCTAACAAACGAAGATTTTAATCTATTTTTCTTTTTCTTTCTCCTTTTCATTATCTTCCAACTCTTTGCGCTAACGAATATAATATTTTAATTCAATAATTGATATAATATTTTAATTTATTTATCGCATGAACTTTGCCATGAATATACTTTTTAACTCGTTTAATTTATAAATGAACTCGAATTCGACGAGATTTAATTTCAAGCTTTAATTTCATTGCCGTTTGATTTCGAAGTTGAAGTTCAATTTCTCGAAAATCCTCTCGCTACGTTTTTGCATCATATTTTTTTACACCGGCGGCGTCCTATCAATGTGATTTCCATTAAGCAATGCATTCAAACTTTATAAAAATCAATACGCGAAGCGAGCCTCGATTTATGTAAATAATACCTGAATATTCCATATACCAGATTAAATTTTAGAAAATTACCATTGCACGCTAACAGAGGAGTTCAATTAGCACCGATAACGAACGATGATAAAATTTAATTAACAACGAAGACTGATAAATTGACTCACTATCGTGTTTCCGATCCGGAATATTCGTGTATAACTTTATTGTATCAATTATTATTTCAACGAATATCTTTTAGAACAAATGTGTAAATTACCGGAATATATTTTCTCCTCCTCCAATAACAGAGTAAAAAAACGGGTTAACGAATGGAAATTCTCAATACAACAAAACGACAGTAATCGAAAATTAAAGCAAAATCAAAATCGTTAATTAAATTTCTAACATTTCGATTAAAAATATAATTAATTATTAAGTTCATATATAATTTTTTTGGTTAATTGAAATTTTATAAAAGATTGTAATTGTTCATGAATATTTTTCATAGCAATGATAATGATTTAAAATTAAATTAGCTTTGAATTACGAAACGCCACTGTTCGCCTTATCGCCGCGTGATTAATTAAAAATGCCTTAGAAAAGGAGATATTAATAAAATATGCTGAATAATGGTAAAACTCGACTACGATTATTTATAGGTCGTTCCGATTAAGCTTTGCCTTAAGCTCTTGAAAAATATTCGACATTTGTTTCAATTTATCGAGGAAAGTAATTCACGCTGAGATTTAATATCATTATATTTTCACTTCGATATATCACGGAGAAATATTTATCCCTAAAATACAAATGTTATTGGATCCTACGCATAAACACATGTGTTCGGACAACAATTTAAAAATCATATAAAACGCGATAAACGGACCACAGAGCTTGCTTTGTTCACTTTCTATTCAAAATGATTCCCGCTGCATACAGAAATGGAAGTAACGATACCGAGTAAATGAAAATTCACCACTCTCGGTTATTGCTACGTTTCAGCAACGAGCTGCTGAATACGTCTGGCGATCATAAAATCATTTCTCTTTGTGCGCGTTAGAGGCAACGATAATTTTCATATAATTCGCGTAGCTTTGCTTGTAGTACTACGTATATCGAATATTTTATTTAAAATAAAAATTACATTCGTATAATTTCCATTACGATAAATTAACATTAATTAAATTGTTACGAGTTTCAGATCCATCGTTCGTTGAATAATTTCAAATATTGTAGCAATTTCAACTTTATTTTAATTTTATTTGAAAAAGTTATTCGATAAAAAGGAATGCAGTAAAAAATAAATGCAATTTAAATCTGCTTTATCGACGGTTGATGTGCATGCTTGTTATCGACCAAGTTGCCTACAATATGCACATACTGCACAAGCATGCCCAACTACAAATGTCATATGTATGTTATCATAGATCGTATCGATATTTGTTTCTCCGCGACTCATTTCGCATTAGAGCCACGTTAACGTGTTCATCTGTGAAACTAATAACAATACCAATGATCGCATTCCATCCGACATCAATGATGAATGTATCTTCTGACGCATATTAGCTTTGTGATTCACGAAAATGCATTATTATCGAATTAGCTGACGTAATTTGCTCTAACTTCCCACTTACTTCTACAATCACAATTAACTGAAAACGCTTTGTCAGATTTCACGTAATTTAGATAATAAGCGAAATATCATAAGCATCGTAAAATTAACATTGTCAAATTTACATTTTATGTTTTACATAATTCGATGATTTCCATAAATTATGTTATATTTTTTTTATTATATTATTATTAAAAAAAAATACTTAACAAAATATAATAAAATATTATTTTTTTTCTTTTTTTACAAATAGAAATTTATCACGAAAAATAATATTGAATTAACAAAATGTAATGAAATATTACTTTCATTTTTTACAAACAGAAAGTGGTAAACTGTAAAATAACAAAGAGATTTAAATTGAAATTCAACTGAGCGGAAATGATATCCATTTAACCTGTTATACGTTGAAAATATTAAAAATTTTAAAAGTTCAGATGTGTATATGTGTGTTAGAGTTGCGGCACGAAAGAATAATTTTAAAAGTTAGAAAAACATTGTACGTTTCAAACATGGCAGAAGTTCGATAATTTTCAAATAAAAATGCTAAAACCTTTATTTATTTTGGTCGAGCTATTTCAATTTTAAACGCAAATAATATTATTTACTATTTTGAATTCAAATAATAATACCGATGGTGTAATTAATTATTCGTTAGAGAAAGAATTTTAAACGATGGAATTATCTGGATAGTCACGTATCACAGTACACTCCGTTATCGAATATCGATAATGAAAATTTAAAGGGCCTTCGACGCTTTCATTTTCCTCTTCACATCGCTTTGTGATAATCCGAGATCGTTCGTGGAAGAAGATTATCGTTAACCCTCTATATCATAGATTCGTGTGTTACGATATATGAAAATTAAAATTAAAATCTGAACAAATTTTTCAAGTAATCAGAAGTAATCAAGAACTTGAATAAATCATTCAAAGAAAACAAGGCTGTGTAACGGAAAAAATTCATAGTGACATCTTGTATGATTAAACTAATATTGTTAGTGACATATTATTATTAAATTGTGATGGATACTAATAAATTTTCTTGCATAACATTTGATAATAAGGTAAATTAAATTTTATTAATAAAATTTTGTGTGATTTAATTATCTTATTTCACATAAAATTCTAAAAGTGAAGTTCATAACCTATAACTCGTAATTCGTGAATTCACTAATATTATTAATTACTAAATCATTATACAAGAGAGTTTTAAAACTTAAGTTTAAACTATCAAAATCGTATTTTCGAAATGGATTTAAGTGCATAAATGAGTTTTTCATTGAAAATAATTGTTTATGTGTCTTATTGTATATACCAATATTCCATTCTCGAAGGTGGTTAGGTTAATCTCTTAAACTCGTTCTACTTGAAACGTTGGTATATTGTACATGCATTTTGTGTTAAATTATAATTTTGTTTGTCTTGCCTATGGCTCATTGTTTCTCACGTATAATAAACTATTTGATTTTAGTGTCCTGTGTTCCTGTGCAAGTTCTTATTACTTCAATCATTTATATATTCGTCCTCGTCACTTAACCTTATGGATATATTCATGATTCACCAGCAACAGATTATTTCCTCGTCCGTGATCCATACTGATGTATTGTACATGTGGAATAACGAAATATCAGCCCACTGGCAACACTACGAACGCAAATAATCGACATTTGTAATTCGATGTACTTAGAACTAATCCAACTGAAAATATCCACTCGTGTTTCTGTCTTCATTCTTTTTTTTTTTTTTTAGTGAAAGTCACGAAGGCTGAATAACGTCAGAAGAATCTTCCAATGCGAATGATTCACTCTTCCTTCGATGAATACGAAATTCATCGAATTATTGGATAGGTTTGTTCTTTTTTTCTGTTTTTCATATAACTTTATTTTCAATTCGTTTTATTCATATTATCATAAAAACAAAAGATGAAAGAAACACAACAATTTTATATAAATCATTATATCATTATATCATTAGCTCATACACATTGTACGGTGAGATATTCGATCGTAAAAATTAACGACCACGTTCACGGAGATTACTTGGCGAAATTGTTACGACTGACATTATTGCCGAGTTTATATTTATTGCCTAATTAGTTTATATCCGTTAACGTGTCAGCTTATCAAATTTACTTATATTATTCATTGTCGAAATATTTATTGATAAAAAAATATCAAAAAAGAAACAATAATTGATATCAATAAGCCAAAATGAAAATGCTGAAACAATAAGCTCTATCTTGTAAAAATCAAGATTTTTGCTTCTTCCTAGTCGTATAAAAAGTTTCACAATATTCAGTGTTCATAAACTTATACTCGAACGAAACTTCGATACTCCAAAAACTCTGATTTATTTGAAAACTTTGAGTACGTCTTTTAAAAATTACCATGTATTTTCCTATTTCTCGTAATACATTTTGAAAGCTATACACGGTACGTAATTTAACTCTGCCATTTGAATTTACTTGTAAAATATTTATTGCACACGAAAATGTCATAAATAACAATTGTATAATTTAAAAGTAAATTTAGATGACTAAATTAAATGACTCTTTCTGCATAATACTAATAAAAAGTAAATATAAAAACTATTAGAAATATAAAAACTATCGATTTATTGCTTTTTATATTCTTGGAGCAATGAATTATTCAAACTTTTTTATTTAAATGAGAAAAATTGTTAAATTTTTCTTTAACAATTCTTCTCTATTTATTTATATATTTATAATTTTCAAATTCAAATAAAGAAATAATGAAATAAATTATTGAATCGAAGAAACTGAATCAAAAAAAAAAAAAATTTACTCGACAATTCTTTTCAGAAACTAACAAACTTGTAAAATTTCCAATAAATTTGAAGTTTTCGGATATCGAAGTTACAAACAAAACAACATTTCGATCGGTTTACAATGCTCGACGAATAAACAACGAAAAAAACGAAAAAAAAAAAAAAGATAAAAAAGTATTTAAAAAAAAAACAAATTGACAAAGGAAAAGGGAACCAAAAACAGAGAAAAACACATCGAATGCAACGATATAAAACGAGAACTATTCGATGAAAGAGGTTGTAGATTGGAGTAAATTCACTTTATTACTTCATGAGTAAGCAAGAGACAAGGGAAGCGAGTAGTTTATTGAGAATTACTGTGATAAATAAGGCGGGAGCAAGCAGTGGAAGAGGTTACATCGAAGAGTGGGGAATGGCAACGCGAGGAGAACGATCTCCACTCCATGGATACTCCTCGTAATGTGTACCGTATGCAGCTACATCTACACGCATACGCCAGCATCTCTGAGTGCATACGTTTACGCGTGTTTCATGTAACGTTCTCTCTCTCTCTCTCCTTCTCCTTCTCTCTCTCTCTCTCTCTTTCTCTCTGTCCCCTCCCTTCTATCCCCACTCCATTTCTATACGCGCGCGTGTATTTATATGATACACTATTCAAGTGCGCGTGCGGAGAATTCAGTTTCGTATGTGCACACGAACGATACGTATACAGACGGTGTTTCACGAATAGGATTACACTCGTCCAACGTTAAATAGACTCTTGTATTCGCGATAAAGTTATTTTTACGATCGTCGTGAAGACATTCGTCGAGTTATCCTCCATGAAAAAGCATCAGCAACAATTTCAGTTGCAACCGACTAGGTAGGGAGGAAATTTTTCTCCGGCCAGACGCGAGGTTGAACACACTGTAGAGCAATGACAAGGAGTGGGGGTAGGGCTACACCGCATGGTGTATATATACACCAATCTACAGAGACCGAATGGTCAATGCTTGCCTGGCACTGTCACACAAATATGACACCAGGATCGAACGGAATTCAATACTGGTTTGAAATTTGTAATCAGATTGACGGCAAATTTCCGATGAATCGTGACAACATCATCTACATATATGGAGAGGACGGAGATATTCGGATGACAGATGCAAATGTAATCCGACTTGCATTCCATATATTATTTCACTTTGTCCTGTGTACCGGGTCATATTTGTGTACTTTGTGATACGATGGACATTATATTGCACTGTGATTTTGCTACAATGTACTTTTCAACATTTCCATACCAGCCGCGTATCGGAAACCGATAAGATTGAAATTATGGCTTGTAATATTAACCTCCAAAGCTAATATTACCACAATCCCGGTTATATTTTTATAAAAACAAGTAGAAGTATGGGTAAACGACAACCTCGTAACTCTTTTTTAACTTTTTTACTAATTTACGCGAGTATACGTGTACACACAAAGAAGTTTTTGTCCAAAGAGAAAGTTTAACAACGTTTAAGTTGTACACAATGCTTTCTATTGCGAGCTCGCAAATTAAATTTGCATTTCCAAAGAGTCTAATTTCCAAGACGGAATAACGTTTTTAGAATATATATTTTATCGCATTGCTCGCTACGTTTTAAACTGTAAAATTACTAACGTTTCATCGGTATAGTAAAAATCCCTACCACACTTTTCGGCTTGTACATTTTTGCTCGAGCCCCTTGAGAATGCTCGCGTGTCCGGTCATTTATAAAACATGCCGGTTTTTATTCGTTCGAAAAATCTCATAGTGCGGATTCCCCGCTCCCTGTACGATATTCTCCTTTACTATCATTCCGAAAGGCAACACACGAGTAAGTGAATAGAATGATATATATCGTAGCGATAAAGTGTCTCCGTTTCATATACCGCAATATTTTCTCGGTGCCATGTCAAGCGTATTTTTATCCTCGGGACAATTTCTTCTTTCGAACGAAAGTACCGACCGAGTCGAGGAAGGGCCGTTAATTGTTTAACAGCGATAATCTTGGAAATAAATCAATTCGATATTTTTTATTCTTTTTTTCTTTTCTTTTCTTCTCGTTTAACGACCTCATGTTTTTCCTCTTTATCAATTTTTAAAAAATTATTATAGGTAGAATAAAAGAAGGAGGGGGAGGGAATAATCAATGCCATGGATTGGATATGACGTGGAATAAAAGAACGTGGAAAGGAGAGATGTAGAATAAAAGAAATAGAGAAGAGGAAATAATCGATGGATAGAAATATTAAATTAAAAAATTTATGAAACGTCTAGCGGAACGCGATAACGATTATTAATGTAACGTTAATAATTTTATTGTAACGCTCGATTGAGCGCATCGTAAATTATTAGCAATGACAATAACGCGTTTTGATGCATTTATTCATCCCGTGTATAATACAGAAATAATAAAACCGGAAACGAATGGAACGAAATAATGTAAAATGTGAAACAAAGATGGGGAGGAGAGGGGCGGAACAAGATTGAAGACCGTTGCTTGTATTTCTGCAATTGCGGTAATAAACACGTAAAACAATTCATCTTTGTCAGAAAATTTGTTTGCTCGCGAAACGGTGGAAAATTTGAAAAGAATTTCGAAACGGTAACCAGCCAGAACGGAAACAAGAATTAGATAAAAAGACACGATCGATACACGAGAGTGTACCACAATCTCGTAGAAATGCTTGTTCTCCGTGAATTTTGCGATCAATTTGAATGTATTTTAAATATTTTAATAAATGAATAAATTGCATCAACAGGAATAAAAATAAAAGGAAAGAGGAAAATATCAACGAAAATACTCTGGGAAACGGAAGAGAGAAAGTTTTTTTCACTGTATAAAAAAAAAAAGTTTGGTTGACTTTTAAATTTGTTTCGCGTTAGAATGAATAAAGAGATAGAAATATATGAACTATATAAAATTGAGATAAAAGAAAGGATAAAAAAAAAAATCATAATTATAAAATAAAGCAAATTTTTATTGTAACTTAGATTTATATTTTTTTCAAAAAAAGAAAAATGCGAAAAAATAACAACTTCCAATATATTTTCCTTAGTTCACGTTTCAAATATTGTTGTTAAAACAAAAAAAAAAAAATTTAATTAATTATTATAAAATCAAAAGTTGAATTTATTTCAAGATTTTAACATATTCGTTCGAAAATTAATACACATAGAGTTTTTCTCGCAATTTCTCTTCGTATTTTTAGGTAAAAAAAAAAAAAAAAAAAAACTCAAACGAACAATCATGAGATTAATAAATCGTATATTGTATATTCGTTTAACAATTGTCAGAAACGTGATTTATTCAAAAAGCGAATAATCGTTTCGCGTTAATTATTATCCACCCAAATGACCAGTTATTCCTATTTCAGATGGAGAGAACCAGGCAAAGGAGTGTGAGAATAGGTGAAAGAAATGCATTCGAGGCATGTAATCCGTTTATATTCCCTGTGATTGACCGTTCTCCCATCAGTCCCTGTTACACGAGAACGTTACTCTTCGTTGAAATGTTTCCCGCCCATTGCGTATGTCGTTTCTTTTCATTTTATTGAACCTAGTTTATTCATAAATAAATTTCGTAATTTACTTTATTTCAATCCTTTCGAATTGCAGAACAGAATGGAATACGCAAAGTGGAAATAATACGAAAATTTTTGTTCGTGATTTCAATTTGATTTCAATAAATCTGAAAATTTCAATAAGATAAGTTTTATCCAAAATAATCCAAATAATTAAAATTTTTTAACGATTTAATTTATGTTAATAATAATTTATAACAATTCATTATTCGTTTTCAGTGATTTATCATAACAATAATTTTACGCCTTGGTTTATCCTTTACAAATGGCTACATTTCTCATTTTTACGAGCTTTTTGCTTTTTAATTACAATTCCGAGTTTCTACAAAGCCGATAAACTTTAAATGGAAGCACGCATCGTACGGTGAAAAAAAGAAAAGAAAAGAAAGAATGAAAAAAAAAAAAAAGTACAATATATCTTTAGTAACATTTATTGAAACTCTCCACGGAAATCATGACACGTATGATGACGAATAGGTTTTATTTTCTCCGGCCGATCGAAAGAGGCGGGGATGGAATCTGGAACTTCACCCTCCGCCCGTCAAAAGTAATAAAAGTTCTGTCTCACACCGTGGTATTCAAAAGTTCTGACAGGCTAAAGAATACTACAAAACCTCGATGAACTCGTTTCGAGCTATATAATATTTTGTGAAAGTTAGCCTTTCTCTAATTCAATTAACGAGTAATATAACGATGCATTTCTCTAATCAATTTTAATTTTATTTAAATTTTCTCTATATAATAATTTTCTTATAATTTTGCCCCTTTTCTTCTCTTTATTTTATTTTCTTTTATTTTTTATTTATCGATAAATAAAGAATAAAATTTTTTAAATATAATTTACAGGACAAAATACAAGATATATAAGGAAGTAAGTAAGTAAGTAAATAAAACACCTCGAACAAGTAGTACCTGCCACATGATATACGACCGATCTTTCACGTTCCCGTGCCGGTTGATAACTCGATTTGTCAATATCAGACGGGGGACACTATCGAATTTATTTTTTCTTTTTTTTTTTTTTTTTATACAAATCCCGATTCACCGTCGCAAAGTAAATTCTTTCGCCTCGTGTGACGAGAACTCCACGGCACGATTTCATATTCCAACGAAGGAAAGTATTTTGCATAATTTATTTCGCTGCAACTTCTTTTCCACCTTGCGTCGCCCTTTTCCGCCCACCCCCGCCCGACGCGGTCGCCACCCCTCCCCTCCCTGCACGTTGCTTGTTACAAACCACGCCCCCTTCTTTTCGAATCCCTCTTTTCGAATCCTTTTTGTTTCCGTCAACGTTGTGAAACTATTGAGATCGATCGTTCTTCTTCCATTTCATTCATTCTCCAATTCCTTCTTGGAATTCTCTACAAGGTCGTCCCGAATAAAAGTTCCCGCCAATGATGGACAGTCTGTTTTGATTAAAAAAAAAAAGAGAGAGAGAGAGAGAGAGAGAGAGAGAGAGAGAGAGAGAGAGAGAGAGAGAGAGAGAGAGAGAGAGAGAGAGAGAGAGAGAGAGAGAGAG